TTAATAGAATAATTTTAATTAAAATATACGTTTTATATTACTGATCATATTACAAGGATATAAGATTCAATTTTATAAATAGATTACAGATAAAACATTCTATATATTTCTATATATAAATATATATTTGTTATGTAATATTTTTTATAAATAGCTCTTTTCGTTTTACAAATCGTAACGCATTTCGAGGAAATAATGAGAGAATTCTATACACATCCTCCCCTAATCGTAACATATAAGAGTAAATCGGCTTATCTAAAAGTTAAAAAGCTATTCATAAAAATCCTTTTATTATATATTTATTATAGATAAGTTACATGTTTATGTCCTGCAAAAGTACTGCGATTAAGAAATCGAGTTTTTACCATAAAATGGTTACTCTATATTAAATATATTTATTCACCAGTAGCTGAGTGAATAACATCACTAAACAGGTCGTGGGTTCGCGCTTCACCAATGGACTGATCACATGGAATTTTCGGATTTTCTTCATGTGTATAACACCTAAATGGGAACCAGTTTACAATACAAATCCTTCGAAAGACATTGCCCATGCGTTGTGTTTTCTTATTTAAGTATTCTAAAAGTATTTGTTTGAATTTTCTCTTCTTTAACTCTTGTATTTATATAAAATAAATAAATTTGGAAGATAATATTTTAAACACTAATTCTTAATTCTTATTTGGTAGAATAAGTTTAAGTAATTTTACGATAAATATTAATTTTTGAACATTTTGTCCATTAATGAAAAGAGTTTGTCGCGATTAAATTTTTAAGTTTGCACGGAAGATACTCTATTTTTATTTCTACGTACCTTGGCGAATAAACCTTTTTTTTTAAAATGAAATAGGTCATATAAAATCAAATTATCGAGCATTGCTGTCCAAAGAATATCTAAAGGAAATTTTAATATTTGGTACCAAAAAATTTATCCTGTTTTTTGATGACATTCTTTCGAAAAACAGTTGCAAATTTCACGTTGATTTATGCTCGTTGTTATTCAGAAATAATAAGAAAAAATTCCTAATCTCTGACTATATCTTTCTGGCCTCCAAACTTGTTTTTTATAGCTCACACGGCCCTTCTTGGTAAAAGCTTGGAGATCCCTACATCTACATCATTGAAGCAATGAATGGAAACTATATTTTTCACTGTTATATCTTATATTTTCATTTTCTTACCAGTTTTATTACTAATATTCATACCATAATATATTATTTTTGATGTTTATACTGGTATGATATTTGTTTATATGTATCTGCAGTTAAAATCTACCATGCGAAGAAGATGAATCATTCGAAACGAATGTGCATCCACACAAAAAGTAGTGTGAACGGTTAAGAAATTTGTTATCGAAAGATTTTATACAACCGTGTATACTATTTAAAAAAAATGTATATGACGTCGCTAATTCGTATGATTAATGTATATGTGTATGTATATAAATAAAAAAAAATATATTTTTAAATATAAAAGTGACAATATTTTGGTGGAAATGCTAATTTAAGTTTTCAAATCCGGACGATAGTTCGTTTTAGAGAGATCATTTTCCATATCTTACTCAAGTGTGATAATTTATTGGGTTGCAATTTTTTGTACACCTGTAAATTTTCGCTGTCGTTCGTCCGTCCGTCTGTCTTTCCTGAATCTCTAGAAGGTTTCAGTTATATGAAAGGCGAGACCAGATATGGAAACCTTAGGGGGAGAAGGCCCTGATTAACTATATATGAACTTCCAATGAAAATTAGAAGTCACATTATTTCAATTCAAAATTTCCCCTGAAAGCAGTTAATAGATAACCGGCACGACTCCATTGTTAACGGAAAAGTATGATATACAGGAGCAAGCCACTACAGTACTAATTTGAGGTGAAGAGCATATATATTAAATAAATTAAAAGTATGAGTAAAAATTGCAACCCGGCATTGTGACGATGTCGCAATAAATAATTGCTCGTTGTCATTATAGATTGCAGTCTTTCATAACAAATCTCAATTATTCTTTAATATTCTCTCGTTTGAAAATTCATGGAAATTTACAAACTTTTCATTCAATTATTATTTGAATACATTTCTTTTTTTTTTCTAATTTATTCACACTAAAATATTATTATTAATTTCAACCACTTCTATAACTAATTTACTAATATATAATCAATATTTCATATATTTTATAATGAACATTTGTTTATTATTATCAAATATATGACTATTGCTCACACAATCGTGCCTTGAATCTGTTTAACTACAAAAAAGATAAATTATGTTCTTCTATCGAATCATTTCCGACCTTAAAAAAGCATTAAGGTCAACTAGAAATTATCCATTAATTTACGGATTAGTAGAGTTTATAGCTAGGTTGGTACACGACTAAGATGCCATTTGTAGAAAATGAGCTCAGATTTCGTGGAAAATATAGAAGAAAATAATAATAATTTATTGTATAAGAATTCATTGTAACCGTTGTCTGTCCCTTTAAAACTTCAACTGAAGAGTTAGAGGAAATCTGTAAATTTCTGTATGTGTGTCTTGGTCAAATAAGTTACCTATTTTATTGAAATAATGATTTATCATAACTTAAAAAATTGTTTGGCTCATTAAGCTTCTCTTACTGTAAATATCAGAATAAATAGGCCTATATTAAAATAAAAATATTTAGAATATTTTTATTTTCCTATTAGAAGCAACAGAAATGAAAAGAATTTTACTTATAATTCAATTATCATTATATTATGCTTATGGTGATCATTATTTTGCTTATTTTATATATATATTCGGGTACAAAACTTACCGGCATGACGTTGAAAATTTGTTGAATGTCTTTCATTAAGCAAAATAATTGTATTTTATTATAAAACTCTCATTATAATTTAAATTTTCGTAGACTTTTCAAATGTAATAGAAAAAATGATGCTGAATTAGCTCTTTATTAGCTTTCTTCTTAGCGGAATTTTATAACAAATATTATAATTAGTTTAAAATAATTATTTATTATATTTTAAATTCATCAAGACTACTCAGCAATTTTTATTAAAAAAAAAGAGATTAAATTTATCACATCTATTCATTTTATATTCATAAGAAATAAATTAATCTTTGACTTCTCGAATAAAAATATTTGTTGCACGTATAATTACGCGTATGACTCATTACATTATACTTATATTTATTTTCTCTTTGCTGACTTTTCTTTATTAACTTTGTTTTTTAACAGTCTATTTCTAAATATTTTAAATACAGAAAATAGTCAATTATAAAGATCCAAATCACTGGCAATGTAAAATCAATTTGAGGCATCAATCATTTAATTACTCAAGCAATTAACAATTTTATTAATTTCAAAAATATTGAATAAGTTTAATACATTAGTCAGTTACAATGAGATATTTTAGATATTATATTTTATAAATTTCCCAAAATTTTTAAGCTGATTGGCTTACAACTAGCAGAAATCTCTTTTGACTTTTGCAACTAATCATTATTCGAGAAATTAAACTTTATTTATTTTTTCCTCTTTTATTGATTCTGTTTAAAATGTACTATGTTTTATTTTGTTTTTTCCTCTACAAATTTTTCAGAAAATGACCGGATTTATAAGAATTTTTTTTATTTGTTTAACTTTATTCTGTACTGTACCTATTATCCCATAGCGTGTAGTCAAGTCAAGGACGTCCACTGCAAGTATTTGGACATGCTATTGCCGTGACTCTTTATTTTAAAAAAAACAATAATTATCTTTCATTTGATGACATTTGTGAAATGCTCCATAGAAGCTAAATATGGTCTAACATTATTAAGTGTAATTTTTTTTTTCAAACAGATGCTCTATTGTGCTTTTAATATATTTATTGTTTAGAACGATTTTTTATTTCAACTTTCTTCTGTTACAAGCAATAAAATTGCATAATGTTGTGTAACTTGTTGGGAATATTGAAAAGATGAAAACTGAGTGAGCATTTTCAGAAGTCAAATGCTACTCATTCAATATTGCTATAACAGATTATTGTGTAAAATGAAATTGCAAAACAAAAACTCTCAAGCTTCTAAGACTTAAATAAAAGCCAGAATATATTACTTTAATTCATTTTTAAAAAAATAAATTGCTCGAATGTCAAAGTGCAAAATGTAGAAGTTCACTCCCACGTTTAACAGTGAAAGTAACACTATGAAAGAAAATTTCAATATTCATTAAAAGCACCTGTGATTGCAGCTGCTTTTAATGAGTATTCGAATTTTCTTTTATAATGTTCTACATTTTTTTAAGGCGGATACCTTATTGCTTTTCGAAAAAAGGAAAGTTCATTGAAGTAATCAATGAAGTAACCAGAAGTAAATATTATTAGTAAAAATTCAGTTCTTTTTAGTAATTCAAACGATTATTATAAAAATTTTAAAATGCTCATGTTCTTGATTTTCAATTTACTTTAAAGTTCTTATATAATTAAGCTTGAGTGAACTAATAAATAAATATATAATACAGTATATACAGTACTCAGCTTTCATTAAATTTACTTAGAATTTGTTTTCTTCTGTGATTTTAGATTATCCTTCTTGAATTTAAATATGGACTACCTATCCTGTGCCTTACCAATGGGCTGGAGTTTTCCAGATTTCTTCACACGTTTACATAAATAGAAACCAATTCTACCGGTTCCTATTTAGGCGATAGGTGTGTGAAGAAATGGTGAATAGAAATAATCCTTCAAGTTTCTTGAAGGATCATTTCTAGCTGTTACCAGATTTAAGTATAGGAAAAATGGTCTCTATCTAAAAACATCAATAACCATAATTCAATACGGATATTTAAAAATGTAAAGAAATTTGAAGACAAGAACTTAAATTATTCTCATAATAATTTTCTTTTTATTTAATAATGTAGAATGCATAACTTATTTATTTTAATTTTATCAACATTTGACCTTTTATTGCATTTTATTTAGAAAACTTTTATTATTAGAATCTCTTGACGAAAGAGAAATATACAGTATATAAAAAGGCTCGTTGATTATATTATTGCGATAATTTGCGGCATTATAAGGATGAATAAAGTAAATTGCAATATTGATTTGCATAAAGTAAAATTATAGTTCGTTTTCGTACTTTATAAATTGAATTCATGGATGGAAAATAATCTAAATATATAAGTCACATATCAAAGAAACAGCACTCAACATAATCTCCTACCGAAAAAATTAGTATATATTATTTAATTTTCAGTGTTATTAGCATGAGATATTCAACAAGACTTCAAGACGGCTTTTAATGATTTACATATCAATTTATGCAAAATAAAAAATAAAAAAACTAATTTCTAAGAATCCCGTAGGGCCCGATTGCAGAACGATGTTATAATATAATTAATTTGTTAAACAATAGTTTATTTCATTGAAATAATAAGCATATCTGGTAAAAACAAATGGAAATTGCCTGAAGACAAATTAAAATTAGAGAAACTCCCAAGAATATTCAAAGAATTGTCATTTAAATACTGAATCAGCAATCTTTGTCTTTGTCTTTAACATTATGAAACATGCGTTATCGAATAATAAAATCAAGTCAATAAAACAATGAAATCAGTATTGTTAATTTTTGAATATTTTTATGATATTTCTGGGAATAATCATAGTTTTATTCTAACAACATATTGAAATAATTACTAAACAACTTTAATCTAATAAATTATGACTTGATTAGATTTCGTGAAACTTTAATTTGCCTAAATTTTCGAAAAGTCATTTCATTAAGTTCACATTCTATTTTTTATACTATTCTAAGAATGATTAAAATAAAATTTATTGGAATTTATACAAGATATACCATTTAAAATTTATTATGAAGTATGAAATTAATAAGAGAAAGTATTCGATATTTATTACATGTCGTTTGGCAACATTTTATATACCGAATAATTTGTTCTAAATGTCTCTCAAATAGCAGAACACGGTTGCAAATCACTTCCAATAATTTTTACATTTATTTTATAGAAATCAAATACGGCTTTGGCTGTATAAACGGATCAATTGGGTAAAGCCTGCTTATTGAAGTCAATATCCCGAACACAATATCTGCTGTCTGTACACAAGGAAATTTATGGATTTTTCAATCTATAAATGAACCAATTTGGATTATTTTTAATAGAATAACAATGAAAACTTTTAAGAGAAACATTTAGTTAAAAATGAACATAAACATGATTATTTTATAAAATTCTGCAATTTCTTCCTAAGTAAATGAGTTCACTTATGTTTTCTGTCTTGATGACAACACATTTTAAGAAAAAGTACTTTTTTTTAACTGTTTAATTTTAAAATTTAAAATTTTATTTGTATCACATTACCTATAACAGTAAATCAATGATGAGTCAAAACTTTACCTATCACATTACTGATTGACACATACATTTATTGATTTAATTGTAAAATAAAAAAGAAATTAAATCGTCGTAAAAAAGCGAGAAAAAACTTTAAAAAATATATCTATATAATATTTTAATATATATATTAATAAAGAAAGTTTTGCTCATTAAATAAAAATGATTAATTCAATAAGATGAGAAAATTAGGATTGAGGACATAAGGTTATTAAGAGGTCATTCAATGGTCTAATATAGCCTACTAAATTATTCAAGTAATAGGTTTTAAATGTAACACTATAAATTTATTTAATTATCTTAACGAAATAACAAAATTCTTATCGAACTTTTGAAATAAGAATCGAATGGCTGAATTGCAAATACCTCAACTATTATCAATCTTTAAAAACGTTTAATGTAAAGTACGAGTTTTTCTCCCAGTCAATTATTAATCGATAATATTAAATTAAGTTTTCCTGATTAAAAACTTACATTCCAATAAAACATGATGGATTTTTTTTATTTATATTGCATATGTATTGGTAAACCTGTCCTTGGTTTACTATCTGATTTAACGTAATGACTTTCATAAGGAAAATTGCTCAATTAAATTTTAATCATAACGAACAAAGGTTTTTAAACGGCATATTGTAAATGATAGTTAACGAATTGTGAACTGAGAGTTATTTTGTATAAAAATTAATCGAGTTTAGATTTTTTTTAATATTTTTTATACGTCTAGATCAATTACAGTCGTGTCTCGCTTTTCATTTAAACTATATTCATGTCTATTATTCTCGGAGCTTGCCTTACACTTAAGGAAGTTTTTCTACTTATTATTTTTACTTCCGAATCGGTTTTAAGTCTAGTACTACTGAACACTTAATAAACAATAATATAAATATGATTTTAAGCTTTTATATGCACTAGTAACTAGAAGGGGAGCTGCGATCTGGAACCGCCATATTAGCGAACTATATTTGTAATAACAATACTTACGTCATGAGGTTCTCTAGGAGATGAATTTGTCTGCAATTCAGATTAAATCTAGAAAAAAATAATACGTTTTAATACAGTTTTCTGTTTAAATGAAATTTAATAATTACACTCTGTTATGGAAATGACGTTGATACGTTGTTCTACATTTACATTATTGAAACAGATGCCAATAATTTTTATATGCATGATTCTTCAAATATAAATTCATCATCTGGATTGAATTGCAACTGTATGTAATGACGTGGCAAGCATTTTTATAATTTGAATATTCGAAGAAGCGAAAAAAATAATTAATTAAATATTCAGATATTTCGAAATATATCAAACAATTTTAGATAACTTTCAATACATAGTCAATACTAACGATTGCAGTATCTTTAAGTAAAAAAATATATCTTATTTTTAATCATATAAGAATAAATTATTATTTTGAAAAATTGCATAATAAAATTTTCAAAAATTCGAATTTTTTTCTCAAAATAAACAGACTATATTTTGAGATTATTATCAATAATTAAACAAAGATATCAATAAAGAGGTCAGATAATTTTATTTCTTGGTTACTTAATTGAATCAACCCTTCATTATCAAAAGATTAGAAGCTTCCATTTTCCAAGACCTTGACATGGAAAAAAGCAATAGTGTTACTGTTAAAAATTTTCACGTCATATTTTTATTGTTTATATTGTCTTTATAACAGTTAGCTTCGTGTAACATTTTAATCGATATCTATAAATAAATAAAGTCGTGTCTAATCAAAATTAGGTTCAGATAAATCAGGACAAAAATCTTCATATTTTATTTGCATAAACAGTTATCAACGAAAATGTAGAACAACATATCAATTTTTATCTATTATTATTATTATTATTATNTCTTTCCTGAATCTCTAGAAGGTTTCAGTTATATGAAAGGCGAGACCAGATATGGAAACCTTAGGGGGAGAAGGCCCTGATTAACTATATATGAACTTCCAATGAAAATTAGAAGTCACATTATTTCAATTCAAAATTTCCCCTGAAAGCAGTTAATAGATAACCGGCACGACTCCATTGTTAACGGAAAAGTATGATGTACAGGAGCAAGCCACTACAGTACTAATTTGAGGTGGAGAGCATATATTTTAAAATTAAATTAATAAATACTGTAATCTGATTTTTCATTAATATTGTTAATTTTATCACAGCATTAATCATATCTAAAATGATCTAATCGTTGCTAATACCTGTTCAATACTAAAATAAAAAGAAATTATTATTATATTAAGTAGTAAGATTGCATTAATCGATCAATATAACCATTAAGAAATTATTTTGGCCATGTAAAAATATTCTTATTACATTATAAGTTTACAAAAGTAACGTTATTTTAAGTATTTCTGCTCATTACAGAGGTCATTGATTTGACTTTTACAAACATATCTCAGATCTTCATATCTTATCTTCGATTAAATAATAAACACAGTTAACTATCTCGTAATTCCATAATCGGACACAACTTTATATTAAAAGTTATGCTCCTAGAAAGTGTAATAAATAAATATTTTATAGGTAAAACCAGCAACTCTCATGATTTTAAATATTTTAACATCCAAACGTTTGTGATTGTTTGGAAAATGGAGGTAAAGCAGATAGTGGCGTAGCGAACATAACTAGCGCCCGGGGCACAACACTTTATTGGCGCCCTCCCCTTCAGAAACACATATAGTTTGTCTTGGGCGCCACTCTGCGAGTGGCGCCCGGGCATGATACACCTCCTTGCCCCCCTCACTACGCCACTGAAAGCAGATAGATCAATATTTCCCAACGTGGGGCCCACGCCCCACAGAGGGGCAATTGGATTGTTAAGGGGGCAATTCGAAAATGGACTCTTCCAGAGTTTAAGTTAACCGTACAGCTACTGTATAGGGGGACATAAGAATTTTAGAAAGGCATAGGTGGGGCATAGCACAAAGAAGGTTGGGAAACACAGATAGATTGTTCAGGATTTCTTTTAATGTTGAAATCTTGAAATATTTGTAGAGGTATTACTATATTATCAACTATGTCTCCATTGATATGCTAAAATATTTTGGTAGGTTAAGTCATCAACAAAGAATATAAGATATTTTAAAGTCTATATTTAAATAATTCTTTCAAATATGAAACCTCTAAAACTGGCATACATATTAAAGCGATAAGCAGAAACAATGGATAATGCAATTATATAAGGATTCTCCTCTTTACCATTGGTATTCTGAGAAGTCGACATGAAAATATCAGACATTACATCTATACAAATACACCTACACTCGGTTACAAAAGGCAACACTTTAAGTGCTGAAAATTCTTAAGCTCATACAACCCACATTTCTACTAATACATTAAAATATTATCTGTTTAAAGACACTAATTTTATGTTAATCTTATTGCATCTACAGTAGAATAGACACTGTATATAGTCTGGAGATGAACCTCTGAAAATAATAGGCCTAATTAAACAAAAATTTAATTATACAATAATAATTATTTTCAAAATATTTAAGTTCTTAAACATAAAAATGATAATTTTTAAAACTAATTTGTAAATTATTTATTAAATTCTCATTTTTCTAAAAATTTAAATTTATAATCAAACTGTATTAGAAAATAATTACAATATTTATTGTTATATAACTTTGTTATAAGCTTATATATGATAATCTGACATTAATAAATTATTGTTAATATTGTAAATTTCTATTTTTAATATTGTTAAAGTGTTTGTTTTTATTTTACTGTATGATAGAGCATCTACATTTTATTTTTCAAATAGAAAATATTTAAACTTTTGTATATTTGATCATATTGTATATATTATATTTTATACACTATGAAAATATAATAAATCAAGAATTTATATTAAGGTTATTTTAAAACATTTCAAAATAATTATGTAGGTGTGATTTAAATTATGATAATACTTTTTTGAATTTTTTGTTTTTAATGGATAGTTATTATCAATACATTTTTATCAATACCTCGAATCTATCTTTTTATTTTCCTTATCAAACATAGTAACTGCGAAGAAAGAAGACAATGTATATTTTTAAAATCATGAGAGACATTTCTTCTTTAATTGAAGAACAACTATTATATTTTCCTCAGAGAGATTATCTATAACCGGCAGAAGTCTCTTTTTTAAAGATGATTTTCTAGAAATAATTTTAATGACAATGGGCATTACGGAGATTTATACAAAGACTACCGATCAAAAAATCGATAAAATTAATCATATTCATTCTTAAATATTTTATAAAATATATTAAAAATATTCTTTTAATAAAATGTGTCAAAGGTAATCATTTATAATCGATTATAGATCTCATTTAAAATTTTAAATAAATTAGATTAAAATATAACTAATAGTTAAAATGTGTTTATAAACTTATAATCTTAATTATATTTTAAATATATTAATTTTATTTGAATTTGATTTTTTTTTGTTCTTGTAATGCTAGTGAATGGAAAACTAAAGGATTTGAGCATCTTCATCTTCGTTATCAGACTATAGATATTGAGAAACTGAACGTTTCAATAAATTAAAATTAACTCTAATTTAATTCTAAATTTCAAAAATAAAATTCTAAAAAGTCTTTAATTCCTATCTTAAGCGAAACTTAATCTTTTAAGTTATTATATTGATGCATTTAACTAGAGTCTATAAAAAGATAAACTTGTAAATCTAATCTTAAACTTTTCTAATAAAATTAATAAAAGTAAAAAAAACAGTATTAATAAATTTATTAGAATTATTGAGCTAAAATTAGAAAAAAATTGTAGACCTATAAATTTCCACTGCCATCCGTCTGTCCGTCTGTTTGTTTTTTCTTCATCTCGAGAACGGAGTAAGATAGATAAAAGTCGAGGCAAGGTATAGAAAACTTAGGGACAGGAGACCCCAATTAACTACATATAAACTTCCGATACAAATCGGAAGTCATGTCATTTCAATTCAAAAATTTTCCCCTGTAAAGTGACTCTATTGTCAAAGGAAAAGTGTGATGTACAGGTGCAAGCAACTACTAATTTGAAGTGGAGAGCATATATTTTAAATTAAATAGAAATGATAAAAATATGATTAAAAATTGCAGTCTGGCATTATGACGATGTCGCAATAAATAATTGCTTGTATATTATTAAACTTTATTCCAAACAGATATTAAATTTGAGGCACAATTTTTCCTAAATCAAAGTAATAATGTAAAATAATATTTTTAAAATGGCAGATAAAATATAGCTTAGTTATTATATTTCGTTCTTGAGTGTGCAAAATTTAATGATACGAATCTACAATAATAGTTTTCATGACTTCAACACTCTTAAAATACCTGGTCGTAGTCATGGTTACCTGAGTCATAAGACTTTTCACATTTATATATTGTACGCTATGTTTTCGACTGAAGTTACTTCGATATATATAACATANTATTAATTTTATTTGAATTTGATTTTTTTTTGTTCTTGTAATGCTAGTGAATGGAAAACTAAAGGATTTGAGCATCTTCATCTTCGTTATCAGACTATAGATATTGAGAAACTGAACGTTTCAATAAATTAAAATTAACTCTAATTTAATTCTAAATTTCAAAAATAAAATTCTAAAAAGTCTTTAATTCCTATCTTAAGCGAAACTTAATCTTTTAAGTTATTATATTGATGCATTTAACTAGAGTCTATAAAAAGATAAACTTGTAAATCTAATCTTAAACTTTTCTAATAAAATTAATAAAAGTAAAAAAAACAGTATTAATAAATTTATTAGAATTATTGAGCTAAAATTAGAAAAAAATTGTAGACCTATAAATTTCCACTGCCATCCGTCTGTCCGTCTGTTTGTTTTTTCTTCATCTCGAGAACGGAGTAAGATAGATAAAAGTCGAGGCAAGGTATAGAAAACTTAGGGACAGGAGACCCCAATTAACTACATATAAACTTCCGATACAAATCGGAAGTCATGTCATTTCAATTCAAAAATTTTCCCCTGTAAAGTGACTCTATTGTCAAAGGAAAAGTGTGATGTACAGGTGCAAGCAACTACTAATTTGAAGTGGAGAGCATATATTTTAAATTAAATAGAAATGATAAAAATATGATTAAAAATTGCAGTCTGGCATTATGACGATGTCGCAATAAATAATTGCTTGTATATTATTAAACTTTATTCCAAACAGATATTAAATTTGAGGCACAATTTTTCCTAAATCAAAGTAATAATATAAAATAATATTTTTAAAATGGCAGATAAAATATAGCTTAGTTATTATATTTCGTTCTTGAGTGTGCAAAATTTAATGATACGAATCTACAATAATAGTTTTCATGACTTCAACACTCTTAAAATACCTGGTCGTAGTCATGGTTACCTGAGTCATAAGACTTTTCACATTTATATATTGTACGCTATGTTTTCGACTGAAGTTACTTCGATATATATAACATATAAATGTAATATATATATATATATATATAGCTCTGTTGTAATATACACTTATACAAATTTTATAAACAATTTCCCTGTATTTTGATCTAAAAATCTGCCTTTTTAATATTAAATACTTTAATCTGAATATAGAAATATAAAATTTAAAATTTTGTTTTTAAATCATACAATATTAATTGTAAAATTATTTTATTGAAAATTTTTAATATTTCATATTTTAATAAATTAGATGAGGCGAAAGGTTTATAATTTTTATTTTTATTTTTTAAATTAATCTTCTAGTTAATTAACCAATTAAGTTAATTCTATTAAAAATAAGTTGAATGTGACATACCTTTGGAACTAAACAACTAAAACAATTTTTAATTATTCTACATTATTTTTAATTCTGGCAAATTACGCACTATTGTTCTCAGAACAATTTCATCCTCATTTAACCTTTTCTTCAATGATAAAAACTGGTTGCCAGAAGAAAAAATCTGCCAGATCGTGACTCTGATCAAGCATCAAGCATATATTTATAATGCAAGTCTACAGATGTCTAGTGAAAGTAAAAGTACAATCCTATTGACTTTTGCCAATAGCGTTATACTTTTACTTTCAATCGATCTCTATATTATTGAAGACTGGTGAAAAGTATATACAAATTTCTATAATTCCCTTGTTCTTTTCTCCATTGTCGTTGTTTTCAGTTTCTGTGAAGTCGATATTGTCCTTTATTCATTTTCTCTACTTTATCCTTTGTCTTACTCATTTCCTTTTGTTTTCTTGAATATTGCTTATTGAAGTCATCTCATTTTATACATTTTAAATAATATTGAAATTTATGAGTTTATGTATTTTAATTCATTTTCTCCACCAGAAAATTCTTATTTATTATATTAAAAAAATCTCTTTTTATCAAATTTCAGATATTCAAATATCACGATCCACATTTGTACAGTTATTAAGCTTCTATAGAATTTAAGGCTAAATATATTTTAATTTTTCAATAATTATTTTAGATATTAAACAATTATATATGAGAATCATTACTTTTTTTAATAGAATAAGTCTTCAATCTTCTTATAAAATAAATGCAAAAATATTTTTAAAATATTAATTCTAGAAATATTATTAATTTAATTGTTGAAAGATATTAAAGAAATTTAATAATTTCTTTTAAAAAAATTAATAGAGATCAAGAAATGATTATAAATCTAATCTAATACATCCAATTTTATTGGCACAAAATATAGGAACAGTTCTTCCAATAGTCTGGAATGACGTTTTGGATGGTATTTGAACGAGTTCTGACGTCATTACCCAAGGCCAACATCGTTCTTATGAAGGCTTACATATCATACCATTGATAAGGAGGTATTCAATAAGACGATAAAAGAAAAATTCCTCGATGGATCCTTAAATTATTTAATTACTGTAAATTCCATTGATAAGTTTTTCATAATTAATTAATTATACATGAAAGTGAAAGTTAGTTACTACTATAAAAATATTTTAGTGAATTTTATGTAAATAGTATATATTAACTTTTTTATATTACATCAAAATGTTTATTTAAAAAATTATTAGAAGTTGCTTACCTTAAAGTTGAGGGATATTCTTTAATAAATCCTGTACATAATTTTAAATATTTACGTAAATAAATTATATATATATATATCAATATAATATAATTATTAAAAAATAATGTAATGTAATA